TTGTCAGGGATATAGCTCAGTGGCCAAGCACCTGCCTGGCAAGTGCAAGGTCCTGAGTTCAATTCCTGATACCAAAAAAAAAAAAAAAATTTAAAATCACTATCTGAACCAGTTTCTTCTGCTACTCCCAACATACAGCGCATGCCTTCTGCTCCCAATTGCTTTGCCCTTGTTGCATTTTTAATAACTGACTGTAGTACCCCCTCTCCTTTTCTGTTCAGTGCACACAAATCTGTTCACGGTTTATGTAAGATCCTTCTACTTGATACCTACTATCCTGGTTTCAAAAAATCATAAATGCATTTATTGCTGAAATGAATTTATTATGTACAAGTAATTCCCATGCAACAAACTATATAAAAGCCCTAAAACAAGGAGTATTCCACGAGTCTTCTTTTGTTTTGTTTTATTGAGATGGAGTCATATTAAGTTGCCAGGTGCCAGTGGACTCAAACGCACACTCTTCCTGCCTCAGCCTCCTGAGTGGCTAGGATTACAGTTGTTTGCCACTTCTCCCAGCTAATGCATACTTCATATGTCGCAAAAGATGATACAGAGACAGCTACTAGTTATTTAATTTGACCTGGCCTTTGGATTACTCAGAATCCGAAACTCAGCCCCATGGCCCACACATCTAAGCTTTCCCTCAGCCGCTGTCTCCCTCCTGCTCCGAGGGCCTGTGAGAACAGCTTCTGTAGGAGCGGGGATGTGCTTGGGTTTCAGGAGTCCCTGACCTTCCAGGACGTGGCCGTGGCCTTTACCGGGGAGGAGTGGGAGCAGCTTCACCCTGCTCAGAAGACGCTGTACCGCGACGTGATGCTGGAGAACTACAGGAACCTGGTGGCGCTGGGTGAGGAGGCCCCCACGGGGCTGGGAGCCGCTCAGGGCTCTGGGGGTGTGGGTGCGGTGGAGCCCACAGCAGAAGAGTGCTGGGCGCTGGGGACGCGGAGCCTGGTTTCCCGCGCTGTCCCGGAGGCCAGGGCCCCGACTTGGCAATGCCCGCTGGGGAGCCCCCTCTGCTGCCCTGAGGCCTGTGCTGTCCAAAGCCAGAGGCCCCAAGGACTGAGCAGGGCGCAGACGGGCTCCGAGGAGGACGTGGCTCCGGTGTGCACCGCTGAGCCGCACCCTTCCCCGCGCACAGGGCGCCAGGCGACTAAGCCAGCGCTGATCGCTCGGCTGGAGCAGGGAGAGCTGTGGCCCGGAGGAGCAGGAGGCCGGCGCGTGGGCGCTCTCCCCGGTGAGCAGTGGGCGTCTGGGCACTTGGTCCTCCGAGGGGAAAAGAACCGGTCCCTTCGGAAACCCGGGTGTGGCTGCTGCGTCTCCCGCTGGGGTTTCAGCAGTACTGAGTTGCGGGTCAACAGGAAACATACATTTATTGTGCTCAGCGGCACAAGTGCCTACTTGGCAAGCGTAAGGTCCTGAGCTCGATTCCTGATACTGGAAAAAAAAAAAGAACAGAGATATTTATTGTGAACAAAATTTACCCAAGACAAAACTTTTGCAAGTTTGAGCGCCCATGAAAACCTTGCTGTTCTGGTTCTCCGTGCTGCGTTTTTCTCTGCAATTTTTGTTCATGTATCTTGTCAGTATTCTTTAAATCTTCCTCTTCCAAATCAGAACTCCTCTGTTATTTTTACCTACTTTTTCTTTTTTCACTTTGTTTTTATTGTCAGACTCTTTAAAGTTACCGACTGACCCCACAACTTCATTTCTGATTCTCTTGCTCACTTTGGGATCCAACCCCGCTCCTAGCCGGTGCTGCTAAAATCGCTTTCTTGGAGATGAGCACTAACCCTGTCGCATGCAGTGCAGTGGCTAAAAGTCCAGGATGGTTTGTTGTCTTGATTGTGTCGCCTTGACCTCCTGACAGTTTTCTTCCACCCTGGCGTGGAGCCGCTGCTCTTGTTCTAAGCAAGAATGATTTTAGCTTGCTTATAGTACTGAAGGCAAGGAGTCAGGAAAGAGAGTAAGTAGAAAATAGATACAAGAGATGATCCAAGGTCTAGAAGACCTGGAAATGTGATTGGAGGGAACACCAGGGCAACAGCTTATGTAAATAAATTTGTTGGTGGAAGATTTGGGGCACTGCCACAGGGTGACTTCTGGTTTCTTGGCAGTTTAGGAAGTAAGGTTACTGTTGAGTGTATGGAATTAGGAAAACAGGTAGACGACTTCTGCATTTGGCATACCTGTTGTTGGGACTAAAGGAGGAAAACTGTAAAAGAGAATTAGTTAATTCTGGTGATTTCATATAGTTCAGGAAGTGACAGGAAGTCAAATGAAGCCAGAAGAGGACTGAAAAGCAGAATCTAATAAAAGAGTCAGAGAAATAGAGATCAGGAAATAGAGTCAAAGCAGGTAAAATGTGAAATAAGGTCCTGAGACCACTGATTGGGCAGAATGGAACACTGATCGAGAGATTTCTTAAATGAAGCAGGTGAGGTTTGTAGCATCTGTACAACCAGGTAAGTACACTGTTGAAAAGGAGTAAAGATAAAGGCACAACAGTTAAGAAATAAGATGGAAAAGATGAGCCCATGTAACAGCAACTAAAAAAATAAACAAAAAGTAGGGATAATCTTCTATAGCACCTGCATGAGGAAAAACCTTAAAACATGTTTGATAGATCCAAAAATAAACTTGAATAAAGTGAACATTCAAAGATGTCGATGTCCCCTATACATATAATGCAGTCCCACAAAATGTGCCTTAAAAATCAGGGAGAAGCCAGGTGTGGTAGTATATACCTGTAATCCCAGCACTTGGGAGGCTGAGGCAGAAAGATTGCCATGAGTTCAGGGCCAACCTGGATATATAGTGGCCTTAAATCCGGCCTGAACTACATAATGAGACCCTGACTCAAAAAAACAAAATAAAGACAATGATAATAATATTTTAAAATAAAATAAAAATTGGGAGGGATTGAGAGCATATCTGGATAAGCTCATTCTAAAGGTAGTATAAGGTAGTATAAAGGTAGTATAAAACAAAGACAAAACAATAATCAAGAAAACTCTGAAAAGGAAAAACTAAAGGGGATTATCTCTTCAGAACATTAAATACAGCCTAAAGTTTCATTGATTCAAACAAGTCAGACCAACTGAATAGAACAGAAAATTCAGAAGTAGATCCAAATACACATGAGGAAAGGCATTATTTCAAATTAGGAGAGGGAAAGGAAATATTTCAGTAAATAATGTATTTTGAAAAGTGGACCTTTAAGAAATGGTGAGTAGCAACCTAGAGAGAAAAAAAATTTATCTATACCTTATGCTAAAATCACACACATTTTAAAATGTGCCCTTGCTCACTGCTTCTTTTCATCCTTTATAGCTTTTCCCCTTGTTACATGGCCACCTACCTTCACCGTCATATATGCCATGTACATACTGCTGTCAGTTTCATTTTGTAATCCATTATGCATTAATTGATTTTTCAAACCATGGAGAATATTTGAAAGTATTTGTGTGCTCTGTATCTCCTTTATTTATTTATTTATTTTTATCTCTTTTAGGTGGGGACAATGGACCTAAAATCAAAAAATCAACTCTAAACTGGAATATTTCTGATGAAAATCAAAGTTGTGACATGATTATGGAAAGACTAACAGGAGACAGTTTCTGGTATTCAATCTTAGGAGGACTCTGGGATTTTGATTATCAGTTTGAATTTAACCAAGAAAACCAGCAGAGACATTTGGGACAAGTACCTTTTACCCACCAAAAGCTTATACAGGAGAGAAGCATTAAATGTAACAAATTCGAGAACTATAAAAAGAATTCAAACCTTGTTATACATCAGAGGATTCCTTCAATTAAAATACCCCTTAATTATAATACACTAGGAAAACCCATCAAACATAATTCAGACGTGATTTACTATAAAGGAAACTATGTAAGAGAAAATCCCTATGAATATAATGAACATGGAAAAATCTTCAATCAACATATTCTTCTCACTAATCATAGTCACACTGGAGAGAATCCCAGTGAATGTGGAAAGGGCTTCAACCACAGTTTGTCTCATACCCAACCTCAAATAGTGCTCACTGGTGAGAAACCCTATAAGTGTGACGAATGTGAGAAAAGATTCAGCCAGAGAATACATCTTACTCAACACCAGAGAATTCACACAGGGGAAAAACCTTTTATATGCAGTGAATGTGGGAAAGCCTTCCGTCAACATTCTTCCTTCACTCAGCATCTGAGGATCCATACTGGAGAGAAGCCCTATAAATGTAACCAATGTGGTAAAGCCTTTAGCCGTATCACATCTCTTACTGAACATCATAGACTTCATACTGGAGAGAGACCTTATGAATGTGGTTTTTGTGGGAAAGCCTTCAGCCAGAGAACGCATCTTAATCAACATGAAAGAACACACACAGGAGAGAAACCATATAAATGTAATGAATGCAGGAAGGCCTTTAGCCAGAGTGCACACCTTAATCAACATATGAAAATCCATGCCTGTGAGAAATTATGTGACTATAAATGTGAGAAAACTTTAAGCCACAGGCGTTCACTTAGCAGCACATAAATTGTGCTGGGGTAAACTGTGAATTTATAAATGTGGAAAATTTTTATCATATCTTTCTATTTGCTATGAAATTACTCATTTTGGAGAGAAAATTTATAAACAAATTTCTAATGCATAGAAACAAAATACATACACACCTTAAACTATTAACATGCTTGGGGTTATAGCTAGTGAAAATTATTTTATAAACAAAAATATATTGAGCCACAGTCTAAATCTGATAGCAAATTTGTTAAATAAATGAACAGAAATTCTGTAGCCAATAACCTATTATTCATATGTATGTTCTATGCTATGAAGCTTTGAATGTATATGAACATTAATTAAACCAATGTTGTAATATTAAGTTATATAAATATAAGACTAATACTTCTCAAACCAGTCATTTTGTTTGCTTTCTTTTTAGTTTTTACTATGTCCAGTCTTATTTTTTAATGGAGTAAATGATTTTTAGTGTGGCCTTGGAAATATCATTCATGGAAATTCTGAGTTAGATATGCTAATTATACTTATTCTACTTTCCATCAGATTAAATATCTAACTTTTAGAATTAAAAATATTCATTAGGCCCATGGACCGCAAGTTGGACATGCCTGTGTGCTGCTATGGATAGGGAACATGAATTATCCTTGATTCTTTCTTTCTCCTACTTTTACTCCAGAGGTTTTCAAAGTGTGATTGTGGACCACCAGCCCCAGCAGCACCCGGAATGGTGGGGTCTGGGGGTGGGGCCCAGGGATCTACTTTAGCAAGCCCTCCAGGTGGTTCTGGTGTGGGTTCATGAGTGAGACTCTGCTCTAGCACAGGAAACAATTTTGTAAATAAAGTTTTATTTGAGCACAAAATAAATAAATAGATAAATAAATAAACAAATAAAATACTCATTGATGCACCACGTAGAATCTTGTGTCCTATTATTGAAAAACAATGTGATGAGATATGGCTATATTCTTTTAGTAGTCTTTTTTTTTTTGGTCTTTTTGACACAGGGTCTTGCTATGCAGTTCAGGCTGAACTTGAGCTCACTTTGTAGCCCAGGATGGCCTCGAACTCGCAACGATCCTCCTGCCTCAGCCTCCCGAGTGCTGGGATTACAGGCGTGTGCCACCACGCCCTGCTTCTTTTAGTATTCTTTTTGAATCATTTTCTCCAAACAAATTAAAGTAACTTTGGGAAGACTTCAGCAAACGCTGAAGATCCTGAACTTGATGAACTTTGAAGAATTGATGTAGAGAAGACTGCTCTCTGTTTTGTAACCCTGGCTTTAAATTTCTCTGTGGCAAGCATAGATTATGTATTATTATTTTACTTTTTAGTTACATGTATATATTATTATACCTTCTGCCTCTGAGTATCCAGTTTTTCTAGCACTTACTGAAAAGGCTGTTCTTCCTCCGTGTGTGTTTTTGATACTTAGGAGGAATATCAGTTAGCTACAGGTGTGTGGGTTTATTTCTAGGACCTATTCTTGTACCATTGGCCTATGCATCTGTTTTGTGCCAGTCAGTGCTGTTTGGGTTACTACGTCTCTGAAGAATATTTTGAAATCTAATATGGTGAGCTTCCAGCTTTGTTCTTTTTCTTCAAGATTGCTTCAGATACTTAGGGGCTTTTGTGCTCCCACATGAATTTTAGGATTTCTTTTTCTAGTTCTGTAAAGAATGTCACTGGTGTTTTGTTTGCAATTGCATTCAATCTGTAGATTGCTTGAGGTAGTGTGGACATTTAATAATATCTTCCAATCTATGAACTTAGTGAGTAGTTCCAAGTTTTCTCCAATTCCTTTCATCAGTATTTTGTAATTTTTATGATAGAACTCTGTCACTTCTTCAATTAAATGTATTCCTAAATATTTTTTCAGAGCTATTGTGAATGCCTATTTTCCTGATTTCTTTCTCAGCAAGTTCATTATTGATTTCTAAAATTAGTTTTTGTACATTGACTTTGTATCCTGAAAATTTAGAAATTGTTTATCAGTTCTAATAGTCTTTTGGTGGAGTATTTAGGTTTTTTACATATAAAATTATATAACCTATAAAAAAGGATAATAAACCTATTTGTGTGCCAATTTCTTTTTCATGCTTCATTGCTCTGGCAAAGATTCTAGTACAGGCAAGGTGGATATGATCAAGATATAATATGTGCATGTATTGAAATGTCACAATGAACCCCATTAACTTGTACAACTAATACATGTTTATTGTTTTAAAACATACTTCTAGCATTATACTGAATATGAGTAGTAAGACTGGACCTTGTCTTACTCCAGATCTTAGAGCAGATGATTTCAACTCTTCCCAACTCAGCATGATGTTGGCTGTGGTTTGTTGTATACTATAACCTTTATTGTGTTGAAGATCAATCCTTCTATACCAAATTTGTCCAAGATTTTTATCATGAAAGGATTTTGAATTCTATTGTGTGCTTTTTTTGCATATGTTGAGATCATATGATAATCCTTCATTGCCAATAATTATCCTTCATTGTATTGATGTGAAGTACCACATTTATTGAACCATCCTTGCATCCCTAGGATAAATCCAAATTGATCAAACTGCACGATTTTTTAGAATTTATTTTCTAGCATTTTGTTGAGACTTTTGAGTCTGAGTTCATCAGGGATATTGATCTATGTAGTTTTGTTATTGTTGTGTTTTTGGTATCATGATAGTTTCAGACTCATAGAATCAATTTTGTGTGTGTGTGTGTGTGTGTGGTACCAGGGATCGAACTCAGGACCTTGTGCTTGCCAGGCAGGCGCTTATGCCAGTAAGCTATATCCCCAACCCATACAGAATCAATTTGGAAGGTCCCTTCCCTTTCAAGTCTTTGGAATAGTTTGAGAAGAATTGGCATTATCTTTAAAGCTTTGTAAAATTCAACATGAAGCTATTTAGTCTGGGGTTTTCTTCCTTGGGAGAATTTCCCAGTTGGTAAATATCAACTCGGGCTATGGCATATGTTAGGCAAAAGCTCCATCACTGAGCTAGATACTCCTAGCCTGAGAAACATTTTATTACTAATATAATCTCTACTTGTTACTAATCTGTTCAAGGTTTTTATGTCCTAATGATTCAATTCAGGTAGCCAGAAATTTGTCCTTTTCTTCTCAGTTTTCCAATTTGTTAGCAGATAATTGATCATAATATTCCTTAATATCTTTGTATTTCCCTGGTATCAATTATAATGTCTTCCTTTTCACCTCTAATTTTATTTTCTTGGTTCTTCTTTTTCCTTAGTTAGTCTACCGAACTGTTTATCCATTTTTTTTTTTTTGTCTCTTCCAAAAATTATGTCTTTGTTTCTCTGAGCTTTTCTATTCTTTGGTCTCTGTTTTACCTTTGCTCTTATCTTTGCTATTTCTTTCCTTCTAGTGATTTGGAGTTTTCTTTGCCCATGCTTTTTTAGATCCCTAAGATGCATTAGGTTGTTTATCTGAAATTGTAATATTTTTTGATATAGGCACCTCTTGCTATAAACTTCCCTCTTAGTACCAATGAGTTTGGTACTATGGTGTGTTTTCATTTTGTTTTGAGAAACTTTAAAATTTCACTTTCGATTTCCAAATGACCCATTGTTCATTCAAATATGTTGCTAAAAAATAGAAAATGTCACAGGATGACAGTATACTCCATCCAGCACTTAGGACTTTCATGGGTGGGATTCAGGAGGTGGTGATAGGGAGCTATGGATTGGCTGGCTTCCAGTCAAACTGTTGGCCTGACCCCACGCACGCATAGGGGGGAAGGGCGCAAAGAGAATGAAACTCAAGGTCCTGCGGAGATAACTGAAATCCCAACCGCGTGTCCTGGATAGTGTTCTCTCCTTCCAACGCAGCAACTGGGACTGACTATTATGGCAAGTGTTCAAGATGGACATAAACAACAAAGCAACCAAAACCAAGAGTATATCACTGGGAAAGAAAATCTAAAGATAGGTCCACATGGTAACAGATTTTTCTACTGTGATTTTCAGCACAGAGTAAAACCAATATATCACAAGAAAGCGAGGCAACGAGATGCCTCCCCAAACCCGAACTCCCTAAAAGTTGATCTCGTGGACACCAAAAAGAGGAGGCTACAGGAAAAGAACTAAGAATTCAAATGGTCAAAATGTTTGAAGAGCCAAAAAAAGAAAGAAGAAAAAGCGCATAAGCAAATCAATAAGCTGTCTAGGTAACCCACAGAATTTTATCAAACAGAGAAAAGATCTTGCTAATAAAACATTCAACAAGTTTAAAGAAGAAGCAAACAATAAACTGACTTAAACAAGACAATACAAGATATGAATGACCTCTATGGTAAAGAATTAGAAAGTATGAAAAGAAAGCAAGCAGAAATGTAAGACAGGAAAAATTCATTGAGAAGCCTGGGTAGCAGTTTTGACCAATGTGAGAACAAAGTGTTCAGAAGTAAAAGATAATGTGGATGTGGGCCATAAATTCAATAATATCTCTGTGTGGTGTCTGTTTTGGTTGAGACATAGTTTCACTATGCAGATCAGGGGAGCTGCTGATGTAGCTCAGCAGCACAGTGCATGCTTGGCAATCACAAGGTCCTGCATTCGATTTCTGGTTCCAAAAAACCCCAGAACTATGCAGCCTTAAGTTCACTATGTAGGGGGATGGAGATATAGCTCAGTGGCATAAGCACCTGCCTGGCAAGCACAAGGCCCTGAATTCCATTTCCTGTACAAAAAAAAAAGTTCACTATGTAGGCCAGCTGGCCTCAAACTTATGGCAATCCTCCTGCCTCAGCCTCTGGAGTGCTGGGATTACAGGAATGTGCTATCATTATGCCAGCATAGAAATGTGCTTTTGAGGGCTGGGGATTTAGCTCAGCGGCAAAAAGCGCCTGCCTGGCAAGTGCAAGGTTGTGAGTTCGATTCCTGGTACCGGAGAAAAACCAAAAAAAAAAAAGAAATGTGCTTTTGAAATTTAAAACTCAAGCCAGGGATATAGCTCATCGGCATAAGTGCCTGCCTGGCAAGCGCAAAGTCCTGAATTCAACTGCAGATACCAAAAAAATACAAAATATTTTAAAAAGGCCAGGCATGGTGGTGCACACCTGTAATC